GGCCAATCACCAGGAGACTCTATTCTAGTCCCTCCTTAGCTGTGAAACCCAGCTGGGTGACTTTGGGCCAATCACCAGGAGACTCTATTCTAGTCCCTCCTTAGCTGTGAAACCCAGCTGGGTGACTTTGGGCCAATCACCAGGAGACTCTATTCTAATCCCGCCTTAGCCATGAAAGCCAGCTGAGTGACTTTGGATCAATCACCAGGAGACTCTGAGTTCTAGTCCCGCCTTAGCCATGAAACCCAGCTAGGTGACTTTGGGCCAATCACCAGGAGACTCTGAGTTCTAGTCCCGCCTTAGCCATGAAAGCCAGCCACATTTTCTATTTTTCTACTATGCATTTTTCTATTTTGGGAAAATGGGAGGGGGGATTGTAAGGAGTTGCATACTATGCAGCCATAACAAAATTCTTTCTAGAAAGCCAAGGTCATCTTTTGTCTCTGCACCTCTGCACCTGACCGGAAATGGATGGGTGGAAGCTGCCAGTGTGGCAGTGGAAGATTGGACCATGGGATGGACTTGTGGGTGTGGGGGCAGGATCTTGAACTTTCAACTGGGTGGGGAAAACTCAGCAAGCTTTCAGATTCAGGTTTTCCACAGATGTGCCAACATGTCTCTCTTAATAACTTGGAACTTTGAGCAATACCTTGCCTCGGACTCTGATTTACTTTTGGATGCTGTTTGGAACTCTGACAATTTCAGTATTTGAGGCGCTGCCACAAAGAAGAGGAGGGGTTAAATTATTCTACAAAACACTATAAGGCAGGACAAGAAATAATGGTTGGAAACTAATCAAAGAGAGAAGCAACCTGAGATTAAGGAGAAACTTCCTAATAGTGAGGACAATTAACCAGTGGAACAGCTTGCCACTGGAAATAGTGGGCACTCCATCACTGGAGGTTTTTAAGAAGAATCTACTCTAGACAGTCACTTATCTAAAATTGTATAGGGTCTCCTGCTTGAACAGGGGCTGGACCTCCAAGGTCCCTTCCGGCTTATTCTATTCTATCTCTTATGATTGTGGACCTCCTGGTTGGGCCCTGTTTGCAGAGTAACTCTCCTTTCATCAGGAATGTTAAACCCGTACCCCTTTTTCTCTTGTCCTCCTAGGTCTGCCATCACCATCTTCCCCCAGAGGACTGATGGCAAACATGACTTCCGAGTCTGGAACTCCCAACTCATCCGTTATGCTGGCTATAAACAACCAGACGGTACCATCTTGGGTGACCCAGCCAGTGTGGAGCTGACTGAGGTTGGTGCATGATGTGGTGGGACGTACGGAATCCTATAAGGATAAGATAACTGTGGTGGAAAAATCCATTAAATTATTGTAATGGTCTGTGAGAATGAACTTGGGAGACCGGAAGGAGGGGCTGCACACTTGACACTGGTCTATCAAAGATCACAGATAAGGAAAGGGGGTGTGGGAAGTGTTTCAGAAAGGAGAGGAGAGGATGAAGAGAGAAGAAAAGAGAAAAGGAAAAGGTGAGAGGAGGAGAGGAGAGAAGAGGAGGAAGAGAGAAGAAAAGAAGAGAAAAAGAAGAAAGGAAGAGAGGAGAGGAGGAAGAGAGAAGAAAAGAAAAGGAAAAGGTGAGAGGATGAGAGAGGAGAGGAAGAGAGAGGAGAGGAGGAAGAGAGAAGAAAAGAAGAGAGAAAGAAGGAGAGGAGGAGGGGAGGAAAGAAGAGGAAAGGAAGAGAGGAGAGGATGAAGAGAGAAGAAAAGAGGAGAGGAAAAGAGGAGAGGATGAGAGAGGAGAGGAGGGGAAGAGAGAGGAGAGGAGGAAGAGAGAAGAAAAGGAGAAAAAGAAGAAAGGAGAGGAGGAGGGGAGGAAAGGAAAGGAAGAGAGGAGAGGAGGAAGATAGAAGAAAAGAGAAAAGGAAAAGAGGAGAGGATGAGTGAAGAGAGGAAGAGAGAGGAGAGGAGGAAGAGAGAAGAAAAGAAGAGAAAAAGAAGAAAGGAGAGGAGAGGAGGGGAGGAAAGGGGAGGAAAGGAAGAGAGGAGAGGAGAGGAGGAAGAGAGAAGAAAAGAGAAAAGGAAAAGAGGATGAGTGAGGAGAGGAGAGGAAGAGAGAGGAGAGGAGGAAGAGAGAAGAAAAGAAGAGAAAAAGAAGAAAGGAGAGGAGGGGAGGGGAGAAAAGGAGAAGAAAGGAAGAGAGGAGAGGAGGAAGAGAGAAGAAAAGAGAAAAGGAAAAGAGGAGAGGATGAGTGAGGAGAGGAAGAGAGAGGAGAGGAGGAAGAGAGAAGAAAAGAAGAGAAAAAGAAGAAAAGAGAGGAGAGGAAGAGGGGAGGAAAGGAGAGGAAAGGAAGAGAGGAGAGGAGGAAGAGAGAAGGAAGAGAAGAGAGGGAGAAAGAAAGAGGACGAGGAGAAGAAGGAGGAGACAGAGGAAGATACACATAGTTGTGAACTAATAATTAGAACTCATAGTTGTGCTTCTCATCTGGAGTACCTCCAAAGGCTACNTTATGTTGAAGAAGGAAGGAAGGAGGAGGAGGAGGAGGAGGAGGAGGAGGAGGAGAAAAAGGATTGTTGAGACCTTGGTGGTCCCTGAGCTTTGTGGTTTTCTTGCAAACATTTCATGACCCAACTAGGTAACCTCATCAATGCTAGAAGGAAGGGAAGTTTCTAGGGAGGGGAAGGAAGAAGAGGAGGAAAGGATTGTGGGGGACTTGGTGCTCTCTGAGCTTGGTAGTTTTCTTGCAGATTCTTCATCACTCAACTGGGTAACATAATCAGTGTTAGAAGGGAGTAAGATTTATGGAGAGGAGGAGGAGGAGGAGGAGGAGGAAGTGGGAGGAGGAGGAGGAGGACTGTGAGGTCCTTGGTGCTCTCTGAGCTGGATTATTTTTTGCAGATGCTTCAAGACCCAATTAGGCAGGTGTGAAATCCTCCCAGTTCAGCCCCTTCGGATGAAGTGGTGGGCACAGTTGTCATTAGTTCTGCGAATCAGTAGTAAAAAAAAAAGCTTCTGATGATTGTGGAGCTGCGGTTGTGAGCTGCGGTTCTGTCGGAAGCTTTCCCCCCACTTTTTAAAGCATTTTTTCCCCTGCCAGTTCAGGTGAACAGGCAGGGGGAAATGCTTTAAAAAGTGGGGGAAAGTTGGCCACACCCACCCAATCACATGAAACCCCCCCTCACCAAGCCACGGCCACAGAACCGGTGCTAAAATAAATTTGATTTCACCCCTGCAACTAGGTAAAATAATAGTTTAGGCTGGCATTGATGGTGTTTCCTAGATAGGTAAGAAAGACTTCAAGATAAGAGATGAGCAAGAACTTCAGAATTCTTAGAATTCATCACTTTCAACTGAGCACATGTATCGAAGAAAACTCAGCTTGTTTCTTTAGGTTGGACATAGTAAACAAGAAATAGCTACACCGAGTTTAGATTAATGCTACGCCTTCCATTCTCCTGTCGAAGAATCGTTTCCTCTGAGCTCCTCCATCCATCAGCTCTTCGTCATCCTGGTGCACCTCTTCTGAATGCATCCAAATCTTACCTTGCTTGTGATGAAAGAAATGTCCTTCTGGGTTCGGCTCCAAGTGGGGGAAAAGACACTGGAGACATGGAGGCTGCTTGGAAGGATGGTTTTAATGGTGGACAGGACCACATGGCTTAAGCCCTGAATAGAAAAGGGGAATCACATGCTTCAATGTTGGGTGGAGAAGAAGAGAAGGGAGGACTGAGATGCTGAAAGTCCCTGGTTTTATGCCCTCTCTGGCCTTTGATCTTGATCTTGTATTCTGATTGGTTGTCAGACTCCCATGGGGGCCATGCAGGGGCAACTCTCTAGGCTGCGTTTTGAATCCCAGGTTTGGTTGAGTTCTCAGATGCCATGTGATCAGTTGGGTAAACGGGCCAATATTATCACGCCTTAATCCCATTCCCCCTGGAGCTGAAGTGGAGAAGTCTTTATTATGTAAAGGGACTAGCTTGGCCTTCTTAATGGCCCATTGACAAAGTGGGGATGGGCAGGAAGCTGCAGGCAGCTATTCTGTCTTTATAAAACATGCTTCTTTCTTTTCACATCCAGGGAAATATTCTGCCTTTTCAATATTTCCTAGGATATTTCATTTTTTTCTGGGAGAGGGCTGGGTGATAAACTTCCTACACTTGGATCAATAATACCAGGACATCAAAGAGTATCATTTTCTGGAAATCAAATCTATGCTCGCCATTTAATTGCTGAGCTGAAATGTTCCCTCCTCCACCATGGAAAACAGAAAGGAAGACTGCCATTAATCCCCAGTTACAACCCCCCCCCCACCCGTCCTACAACAACTATTACAAGGAATAGTACCATACTTGCTTTTTTAAAATCGACGGTAGTATTAAGGAAGCCATGTTTGGTAAATTGGCTCTTCCTCCTACTTGGTCTTCCTGTTGAGATTGGTGCAAGAAGCATTATATTTTATCACCGATAGATGGCAGTAGTTATTTATTTTTCAAATCCATGACAATCCTTCCTACCTGTGATCAGAAGATTATGTGCAATAAGCAGGTAACCGATGAGTGTGGAAAATAGGATGCAGACAAGTTCCTTTTTTAAAACCAATACGTTCATGTATAAAATTCAGAATCTCTCTCTCTCTCTCTCTCACACACACACACACACACACACACACACAAACACACACTCTCCCTTTCTCTTCCTTCCTCTTTCTCTCTCTCACTCTCTCATTGTCTCTCCCCATCTCTTTCTCACTATCTCTCTCCCTCTCCCTCCCTCTCTCCCTCCCCTCTTTCTCCCTCCCTCTTTCTCTCTCTCACTTCACTCTTTTTCTGTCTCTCTCTCACACACTCTCTATATCTGCCTCCCTCCCTCTCTCCTTGTCTCTCTCCCTTTCCCTTCCTGCTTCTTTCTCTCTCTCTCATTCTCTCTGTATCCGCGTCTCTCTCTGACACACACACTATCTTTATCCCTCTCTCTCTACCCTCTCTCCCTCTTTCTCTTGCTTCCCCTCTCTCTCCCTCTTCCTCACTCTCTCTCTCTCCCTGTCTTTCTCTCCCTGTCTCTCTTTCTCCCCTCCCTCTCCACCCTCTCTCTCTCCTTCTCTCTCCTTGTCTCTCTTCCTTTCCCTCCCTCCCTCTTTCTCTCCCACTCTCTCATTCTCTCTCTATCCCCATCTCTCTCACACACACACACTATCTCTATCCCTCTCTCTCTACCCTCTCTCCCTTTTTCTCTTTCTTTCCCTCTCTATCCCTCTTCCTCACTCTCTCTCTCCCTGTCTTTCTCTCTCTGTCTCTCTCTCCCTCCCTCTCCACCCTCTCTCTCTCCTTGTCTCTCCCTTTCCCTCCCTCCCTCTTTCTCTCTCACTCTCTCATTCTCTCTCTATCCCCATCTCTCTCACACACACTCTCTCTCTATCCCTCTCTCTACCCTCTCTCCCTCTTTCTCTCTTTCCCTCTCTCTCCCTCCTCCTCACTCTCTCTCTCCCTGTCTCTCTCTCCCTGTCTCTCTCTCTCCCTCTCTTTCTACCCTCTCTCTCCCTCCTTCTCTACCCTCTACCCTCTCCCCCTCCCTTTCTCCCTTTCTCCCTCTCTCTCCTCCCCCTCCCCCTCTCCTCTCTCTCTCTAGCTATCATCTCTCTCTCTCTTTCTCTTTAGATCTCTACAGTTCTCAGAATAACAGAACAACTAAATTGGAAGGGACCTAGGAGATCTTCTAGTCCAACCTCGTGCTCAACCAGGAGACTCTCTACCATTCTGGACAAATGGATGCCCAAGCTCTCCTTGAAAACCTCCACTGTTGGAGCACCAACAACTTCTGGAGGCAGAATGTTCCAATGGGCCATTGACACTGTTAAGAAATTTCTCCTTAGCTCTAGGTTGCTTCTCTCCTTGATTAGTTTCCATCCATCGTTTCCCGTCTTGCCTTCTGGTGCTTTGGAAAATACGTTGACTCGCTCTTCTTTCTGGCAGTCCCCCAAATGCTGGAAGTCTGCTATCAGGTCATCCTTAGTCCTTCTTTTCATTAGCAATAGCAATAGCAGTTAGACTTATATACCGCTTCATAGGGCTTTCAGCCCTCTATAAGCAGTTCACAGAGTCAGCATATTGCCCCCATCAACAATCCGGGTCCTCATTTTACCCACCT